GGGGGGGGGGCTTAACCCAGTAGCCATGACACACGCCAGCCGCCCACTTGAAAAGGAGCAAATAATGTCCTCAAACTTTGCGAGACGGCGTTCGATCTAAGAATTAAGAATCACCTCTCCCTACTGAGTTCAAATCGACTTGATCCAGAAGAATCAAAGTTTGACTCCCGTCGATATAACATATATAAGACCTGGCTATGCCAAACTTTATAGCGACAACTTGGGAATAAAAGTTTATAGTAGAGGGTTTTACGGCGCTCGCAACTGCAAAAGGTCATATATATGAGCGCCAAGGGGTGGGTGACAACAGAGAAGTCTTCACAGGGAATCAGACTTACTCAGCTCACCTCTCTAGCTTCAACAACACAAGGTCTGCTTCAACTATCAAGGCACCCCGGAAATAGCAGGTCACAAGAGTGTGACAAACATACAAAAGTAGAGGAAAATGACAATAGTGAGGATTAGGAAAGAAAAAGCAGCAGTTCCCTGTTGTAGATCAGGCACAGTTATGAGCGTGACATGAATAGGCCCTTTTACAATTCTACTGTGCACTAGAACGAAAATTTTCCCCCTTTGAGAAAGGCCTAAAGACACTACAGTCAGTGGCACTGCCCAGGGGGATTTGGGAATAACAGTCCGAGACTTCTCCTTCATGAGACAGATAAAAACGCCGCAAAATCGGGAGGACATCGCATTAGAGTACACTGTCTTTAAATCCAAACAAGCACACCTCGGCGGAGTCCAAGTATTATGTCTAAGCTCTAGCTCCTCTTATCACAACTTAAGTTTGTAATAATGGCGACATTGTGTTCTTGCCTACTCCGGTAGACTTAGGGAGACTAAGACACTTCCTGCTTACGTATCCCCACCACGCCACAGCACAGCCCGACACGACACGACACGATACGACACGGGGCACGGCACGACACGACACGGGACACGACACGATACGACACGGTACACGACACGCCACAGGACAAGACACGACACGACACGACACGGGGCACGACACAGGGCACGACACGGGGCACAACACGGGGCACGACACGGGGCACGACATGACACGGGACACAACACGACACGGAACACGACACGGGACACGACACGACACGACACGAATCCCCACCACGCCACAGCACAGCACGACACGACACGGGGCCGACCGGCCCTCAGCAAACACCTCAATTAAAAGCAGACACATGCATTAACCAAAAGTAGGCACGACTGAAAACAAGACAACTGCTACGTTGACGTGCGAAACATGGGCGG